CTGAGTCACAAGGCAAGCCCTCACATGGAATTATCAAGGCCAAAGGAGAAGAAGAAGACCAGAGAATACATTACGTCGAGAAATGGAGATAGACTTGAGAAAAATGAGCAAGAATTGGATGGAATTAGAAAAGGAGGCCCAGGACAGAGTGGGTTGGAGAACGCTGGTCGACGGCCTATGCCCTATTAGGAGTAACAGGCGTAAGTAAATAAGCAAGTAAGCAATTAAATAATTAAGATTGTGGTGTTTGTAAGAACTAATGATTCTTTAGTACTCCAAGTGTCTGATTTTGAGTTCCAAATACATTACGTTCGTTTGTGCTCTTCAAGTTCTATCTGACTTAAATTGAGTTATTCAGGGGATACCTAGCTCGTATAATATACACATTACTTCTTAAATGGAAGATTTTCTTGTTGCAGAAATTTCATGTTGGTTTCTTACTGACTTCAACTTTCCAACTGAAATTATGGACTAGATACTACAAGTGCCAAAAATAAAATGATGGAAAACAACAATGGACGGATGTATTCGTTTTTGAATACGAACTAAATTGAAAGTTGTAGATAGGGATGGTATATTATTATTATAATCACCAAAATTAGTAGTGTGGTGGACCAAAAATTACATTAAATCAAAAGTCACAATAAAGTAGTACATCAAAAAGTTAATGTTATAATACATCAATTATAAGTTATAAACACAAAGAAAAGTTATGGGACATTACTTAAATCAGCAGACTTTGATGTGTTCGAGATGTATTTGGTATTATAATCCACAATTATAAATAATTATTAATTCAATAGGGTTTTTGTAATTCCAACGATATAGCCAGACGTAGAATAAAATGGAAATATGGCCGTTGTATGTAACTGTAGATAATAGATATTTTTATAGTACAATTATCATAACCACAAGCAACTGAGAACGAGAGATGTGTGTGTAACAGTGTATTTACGAGCGGTTAGCAGAGTATGTCATGCTATGAGCGGTTCAAAACGAAAGAGAGTGGGTTCAAGATCATGCACTTAAACAACTTTTACAATCATTTGTGGTAAATATACAAACCATAAAAATTAACAACACAAATGCTAATATTATAAAAACGTATTTACAAAATAAGTTTGTCGTGCCTATGTACACAGTAGGATGTGAATGACAAAGTTTGATATTACTTGCGATTAAATGCACAGTGAGTTTGGAAATCGACTGGATATGTACTATTTTAACACACATAAAGCATTTAGTATTACAAAAGACACGTGGATGACGTAAGGAAAATTAACCACAGAGTAAACGTTGATCAAACCTGTGTTCACCTCTGTAACATGCATTGCAATTCTTTGTTAAATTGCTTTTCATATTTTCACGAGAATGGGGACAGACACCAGCTTGAGTGGCATTGAGAATGTAGTTCATCATGACGCCCAAGCAAAGTATTAGAAATGTTCACTGACTGGAAATGAAACTCGTTGACTGCCTTATAAATCAGACATGCTACTTCAATATCTCGAACTGACATTTTGAGCTTGCGAATTATTTCTCCTTCTAAATTCATAATACAATTCCAAGCAATCAATAGATCAAGAAGTTGAATTTCGAGTTGTTCTCGAAAATCGCAATTCGTGGCCTGATTCTGTAATTCAAGTATAAAGTCTTTAACTTTCTGATCATTTTATGAAGCATATTTTCTGTGAATTAAAATAAGGATGAATGGTGCAGTCATTAATTTGTTATTATATGATTACAATTAAACATTAGGATCTGTGTAAATTCAGTTGATATGTACCAAATGGAATGAAGCAAACTCTTTGAATTTCATAGATCTTTACTTAAAAGAAACAAATAATAAGTATATAGGATGCGAAAATAATAGTGATGTATTCGTATTGAAATGTTTAAATATCAATTAATACTGATAGCTTTAGGCATTAAGTGTGATAATTGGGAGTATTTGAATTATAGTACAAATTAAGAATCCACGAAATAACGCAATTTAACCAAGAAGCATTGGATGAGCACGAATAAACGTATTGCATTTGGAATTCGAAATCAAGCATTCATCAAGTACAAAGGAATCGTTAGTTCATACAAACACCACATTAAGACAATCGGAAATAAGATATTCTCTTGTCAATAGTACTTTACACAGTTATATTATTATGACAATTAGAAGTATTCGAATTATTGTTTAACCAGATATTACAGAAACAGTGCAATTTAAGCCAAATACAACTAGATGAGCACAAATGAATGTATTGTATTCATAATTCATAATCAATTAGGAATCAAATATAAAACAATCATTAGTTCATACAAACACCAGAACTATTCAAATCAGTATCTTCCATAGTCTTTATCAATTAATAATAAAATTTTATCAGTAAACCTTTTCGTCGAATAGCTGCATTATTTACATATATCTTCAAAACCGATTAGTTAGCTGCTTTTGTGGTAATGAGTGGAATGAGTGTTAGTAAATAGTCATCTAAGACGGCCTCGCTTTCAGCTGAGGAGATCATTTGGGTAGTGTTCAGAGATATTCTTCAGATCCTACATATCTATGAAACCAGAGGAAGCGTTCGGTATATGCTAACTAAAATATTTCAGGGAATTCAAATTCGCAAACTGAAGTGTGCTATATGCTTTTGACGAGATATTATGTCGGTAAAGAAAAGGTTAGTTTATCTGAGAGCCATACTGATACCTAGTTTGTCAGTCGTTTTAATCGCTTATGAAATATTCGTAACACATTCGACACTATAATACCTGTAAATAAATGAAACAAAGTATTTCCAGTGATAGGAAAGTTGTTATTTGACTGTTATTACTACTAATATTGTTGAATTAAAGTAAATATCTGCTTCTTTAGTAAGACAATAGATGTGTTCTTTCAAACCCATGAACTCATTAAATTTACTTTGGAAATATCTGACTAATCCCGATTACCGATTGTATATGATTACTATTGAAAGATCTACTGAAATTGTAATCATTTTGAGAATTTGTGAAACCGTGGAGGTTAAGTCCACTATATATGACTGCAATAAGTAATATCCCGTTAACTGAGTAATTATGTAGGCTAAATCTCGAGATTATTCAAAAGAGTGAACACAAGTTGTGAAGATAGTTTATTGTTCATGATTATTAAAATTCCACAAGCATGCAGAAAGCAAGCACACATAGAACTGAATAATCTGTGTGTGTGAGTGTTGGGAATCCATGTATATTTACAAGTGTTGATTGGTTGTAAATAAATTATTGATTGTTTGTGTTTACAACCAATGAGAGAATAAATGAATATTGATGTTTAGACATGAGCTCAAGAAGACACACATTAATTTATATACTGGATTAAATGCTGAAATTACATTGTAATGGACAAATAATACAATAGTTCAATGGGTTCACTACAAAATAACAGGTATGTTTAATTTACAAATTAGTCTGTTTCTCACAATTATTGTAATTCAATTTGGACAACGGTATTCATTTTTATCAAGGAGAATTGAAATTTGGTTTGAATATATTTCATACATCTAAATAAACAGCTGAGTAAAAATGAATCATCTTTTCTAAAGAAGAGACCTCAGATAACATAAACTCTGTTAAGAGATGAAATGTTTTGGAAATTATATCGAAAGTGAAGAACCATCAGTTGCACATATGTTTCAAAGTACATTTGATTTTCCTATGGTATTTGTTCAAATTCTGTTAATAGAGTTAATTACATAGTTGACAAGTCCGTTGTAATTTATTCATGACTTATTTCATAAATTTTTAAATTGCGCGGAAACGTCTACATAAAATTGTTTTCAGTAGATTACCTTTAGCTTTGTAATAACGTCTCTATCTCTGTTGGTTACAATTTTTCTTATGGACTACGAGCTCCATTTGGAAGCTGTAATGATTTCTGGAAGATTATGACATCTAATCTTAAAGCCTCGAGGATATGAGTGAACAAGACTAGCATTAATTGATTTTCGGAAATTCAAATAGAGATAGCATTGTTGTGATCCTAAATTCACTTCACGTGGGATCTTAATATATCGGGTGAATTCATGTTGACTAATTATCATACCTTACGTGAAGATGATTCAGTGATACTCATGAAATAAAAAACTAATGGCAGTTACTATTTTAACATAGAGTTTCCGACTAATATTAACATGCAACGGAATCAGCATGTTTATCTACTCGTATTTCTTCAATTATCACTGTGATAGAGAGCATTAGTTTTGGATATTAGAAATTATGTTGGTGTAAGGTTGACCAACGTCAATAACCATTGAGTTTCAGTGAATGTCATAGGAACAGAGATATCGAAGAGTGATTCTTATCATCCTACCAATACTGAGAAACTGACAAACTTTATTATAACCTAACACTGGACGTATTATGATGAAAACAGGAAGATAATTATTAGAAGTTTCTCTTATTTGATTCATTAAATTTTGTTATATACGTAAAAACAGTAAGTAAGTAGTGTTCAGATAAAACACTCGTTCTGTACACACGTATTTACATGAAAAAAACCGGCTTATATTTAAACATTTTTTAAATTTGCGTTAAAATGAAATGAGCAATTAACCAACAGTTTTTATCATAACTTATTTTCTACCAGCGATATAGATGAAACCATTCAGTAACAAAATTGGTTGACTGGTTGATTTTCCATAGTTTAATTCACTAGCTGATCTTAGCTGGAAAAGCACTGAACACTAAGAAGCCCTGAGTAGTTGGTCCGTTATAGTATTACACTCCGCATAATTGTTAACTTACGATTTCACAGAATATCAAACTCAGGACATTCGGTCATGCTCACGTGTGCCTAACCTGTAGACCACCTGTAAATTAAAACTGTTTGGTAGACGTTAAAAGCACTTGCATCTATGTTTAGTATTCTCACTTTGATAATCTTTCTTTCACTTCTTTCGAAAAGGTCCAGTTTTTGGGTTAATTACAAAGGATCGAATCAGGCATTTCGTCAATTCCATTTCCTCATGAGACGTGTTAGGCGTTTAGTTGTACTGGCAGTTCAACTTGCAGTCATAGTATGTACAAGTTATCAACTGACAAAATTACTATCTCAATTCAAATGGGAGGAACAATTCGGCTTATCACGAAATGATGATGGTTTCTCCTACAATGAATTACCACGTGAAATTTATTCAAGTTCAGTGGGTAATTTAAATCAGACCTATTATACTGCATCACAAATGAAGAAGTATGAAAATAAAATTACATTCGGATTTACTGAGAAAGATCTTGAAGAATTATATGAAGTGAAATCTACTCCAGCTGCCGTGAGTTTCTTAGAATGACTTTTCTACTAGATTTTGATAGTAATTGCTTCAGTTGACAGAACTTCTCATTTCGTTCTATACATTGAATCATAATCACTCTGACCCTATTTTTACTTAATAATAGTAATAATGAATTACTCACGATATTGTTATTTCAGACTACTTTTTTTCCACCTAATTATGATGTTGAAAACATTCAAGTTGTACTGGTGTTCTGGTTGTTTAGTCGGCATTCTTATGAGAAAGAGATTTCTGTGTCTGTCTAATCAATTAGAGTTGGACACAATTTCAATTGAACTAAAACCATATTAGCAGTAAATAATATAAGGTCAGGAGGCATTAAACGAAGTTGACATCCCAGCTTCAATCGTCGAAGTAGCGTCACATATTATTGGGATTATAACACCATTCAATATTCTCGGCTTTATTCAAGTCATTAGATTTCAGAAAGTTTACAAGTTTTCATAATTTTTATTAAAACAGGTATCAATGCAAAGAATCTTCATACTCTTGGAAGTGCTATCTAAAGGTCTATTCCACAAAAATAATCAAATTAACAGCGGTCTGCAGTAGTCTTTTACCACAAGAAAATACAAATGTAGAATATTCTTTATAATAACTTGTAATCAAGCTCTACATTTATACAACCGCTTTATTATTCAAAAGATGTAGCCAATTTTAAGACAAATGGATTTTTCGTAATCAAGTTTGTGAATTTAGAATAGTTTGCAGAAGCTGAAATGACTAATATGCAGCGTTGCCTTAAGTCACGTTTTGAATGGAATGAAATTGTGAGGCCAGCGATTTTAGTTCAGTTCTAAGCTAGTGAAGATAAACAAAAGATCAATATACCACTTTAGAAAATTACTACAGTAACTTCCATTTTCATTGAGATTGAAAGAGAAAAACAGATAATAATACGACACCGTACTAAACTTCTACTCATCATACCTCATAATTCATAATTGTTAAGTGAATTTCTTTAGAAATAAAGTCTATGGACTGTGTATTGTTGTCAGACTTGTCGTGCACTCAGAACTTTTAATTCTATCTAAATGATAATAATGACCAGTACGTATTAATGTTTACGGATATTTTAAAGTCTGCTGTAGATACTATCACCAAAATTCTATCGTTCTGTATAGCCTTCGCTTATTCGATTGAAGTATCTCTTCGGTTAATTGCATTTTGCAGAGAAAAATAATTCTCAACTATGGAAACATTCGTATCGATATTATTCGAAACTTCTCCTTCTGTTTCGCTTGTGATTGTGAACTGATTTTCAACAGATCAAGATGGCTTGAAGCCGATGTTATAATCTTGACAGATCACTTGTATCCTAAAGGTCCAAGACCACCAAATCAGCTATGGTTCATTTTCGTACATGAATCTCCCCTAAACATCAGAATCGCTGATGAATTGGAAAATAAAGTGAGTTGAAAAAACGTTTTACTTACTTCAGATATTGGGAAATGTGAATGCATTCATCAATACGTCTGCTAGTTTCGTCAATCGCATGTGAACGGCCTTAAAACCTGCATTGACTCCTATTAAGTAGAATTTATCAACAAATTCATTAAAAGTAGAATATCAGATGAAACATCCAAGTATGGTTTTTAGCATGTATTGACCTACTTTTATCACGAGAACACGATTGATTTAATGAAAACTATTATTATTATAATCAACTGTAACAGTGATTGTTTTAATGTCCTCTTTGTTTAATTGTGCTAAAAACATCCATTAAACTTACTTCGATTGTGACTTCGCGCGAATCCGATTACGCTCAGTAACCAAGATTGTATCCTGGCACGATCTCGGTATTCTTTCGATACCACGAGATCGCCAGCAAGTATATCTCGACTTGGTCCATTAACTGCCCTTGATATTTGGCTTCCGAGGGATTTTATGGATATCCTGGCACGCGTTCCTTTGTAGTGGTTTTCATAGTCAATATCGACTCGACAGAAAATCATACCATTATAAAATTTTAAGTGAAAGCTCATTTCAAATGTGCAACTAGATATTCTGGAATTACGTAAAAATCCTGTAACTAGACAGTTTATCAAATATCCAAGACTGTCTCTCATCTATTAGAAAGTTTTGGTTAGCGAAACAAACCACTCAATAAGATGGAAATAAGAGGGCTGGTAACAGTGAGGCCTCGAAATAAATAACGCTTGATCTTTAAATATGTTCAAGAGTTTGATCATATCCTGGAAGTCAAAACAGAACAAGATATTCAAACTTAGGATAAGTTCGGAAACTAAAGAAGCCTTAACAACTCAGAGATTAACTTGAACGAATATCTCACTGTGATGTCCCAAATATTTATCAACACCTAATAGGTTTATTGTTACTTTATACATGTGCCACTTTTTAGCATGTAAATTCAAAAGTGTGTAATTTGTATTGGTTGATATTTTAATTGAATTCCGTTTTTAGACGCCTTATCTGACAATTACCTAGTCGCGCAAACTTTAACTGAATATTTTTCGGTAAAACAGTATTAAATCAAGAATAATGTCAATAATATTATGAAATGTACAGTCATCTACATGAATATTTATCTCCTGAGACATTGCAGTAGCAAACATATATGTATTTTACTTTATTTAAAAATTGACCCTAATGAAATCGTATTATATGCAACTGTCTATAAAAAACACTGAACTAAAAATGGTAAGGTTTGGGAGTATTTACTTCGTAGTTTCATGACTGCTACAAATCTTCTCCACCATCTCATAATCAATTAAGTTTATCCTGATTATTTGCAATATATTTTTGCTAATTAGAAATCATGCACTGACACAAACGACTCGATGCAAGAGAACATGCATTCATGAAACATGAGGGCTTATAGTTCGATAAAATGTTCCGGTTTTACGGGGCTTAATTTTTTTCAAAGGATATCGAAAACAATCACCTACTCGAAAACATCAGCTCTCGATTTACTAGTTACTAGTATATGACTAGACTGTGTAAATATTTTTCGTATTGGCATTTTGAAATTATTCTTCACATATCTAAATGTTTAGTATATTTTGATGTTTTTCACTCAGGTCAACTACACAATCTCTTATCGAATGGATTCAACAATTTATGTACCGTATCACAATTATATCCCATTTGTTGCTAGTCATGGTCCAGATACAAAATACGTACTTCCTTCCCGTAACTATGCCACTGGTAAATCTAAAATGGTAGCATGGTTCGTAAGCAACTGTCAACCTAAAGGTCCAAGAATGATGTATGGAAAAGAATTATCTCGTTATATTCAAGTGAGAACACAGATTATATAGTTACCGATTTCATTTCATATGTTTGCCTACAATGGTTCCAGTACATAACAAGTTCAAACGACAACACGATTTTAAGTCCAATATGAAATAGTTTTAGTGTTGTATTTCAGGTAAACATTTTCATCAGATCAAAGCATAAGTTAGGAAGTGGATGGAGTATAAATTTGCCTTCTTGATTAAGTCATTGTAGAGATTTTCGTCAGTTTGTTTAGTCCAAGAATAGTATGATCACACAGACATACATCATGTCACACGTATATGAAAATGGTGTGAGTAAAAGATAATTGAACAGTGAGAAGACAAGGTTAATCTCGTTGTTCAACTAAAGTTTATAAAACAACTCATTGCTTTAATAATTAGTAATTCATTCATCAAAATAATTATTAGTATAAATATTAAATATCAAGTCGATCTCTTCAATTTGATTTTGTGTAACAATATTCGTGGTCGTTATAGTCAACTAGTTTGCATAACAAAGTCTGACATCCGGTTGTAAAATATTTCTGTTTGTTACTTATTTTGTAATTACCAGGTTTCTTTCAATGCTAAAGAAATAAACTGCTTTTCTTTGATTTATTTTATAGGTTGATATTTATGGTAGATGTGGCAATATGACATGTCCTAGAGAAGTAGATTCTCAATGTTTTGCTCTACTAGGAAAGCATTATAAATTCTACCTAAGTTTCGAAAACAGTTTATGCCCTGATTATATTACGGAAAAGCTTTACAGAAATGCATTAATGTAGGTAAACAATGAAATTTTAATAATACTGTTAATTGTTTACTACATTTTAAACATCTTCCAGTTTATAACTGCAGTGTATCATCTCTATGTGTTTGACGTGACATTTGATGAGCATACTACATCATTTACTGCTTCTCTACTAACTCTCGTCGAACAAATTTATTTAGAGCTTTGCTAATTATTCGTAGAGCCAAATATCCCGGTTATATATTTCAGGTGGGTGTGAAATTGATTTGGTAGATGAGTGCAGTGTTGTAATTATTCGATGACAACAACATTCAAAAATTGATGAAGTCTAGTCAGCTTCAACAAGACACACCGTGATTTTAATAGACTGTAACATATCACTCATTTTCAAAAGATAGATCAGAGTGGTTAAGTTTAATTATCTGTGATGAATAATTTATTTTCTCTCACTTCATTTGTCATTTCCATCACTTCACTTAAGCATTCAACTATTGTATCTGGTTTGTTTAATTAACATAGCAACAATGTAATTCCAGTTGTGATGGGTGCCTCATATGAAGAATACAAGCGTGTCGCTCCTCCTCATTCATTTATTCATGTGGATCAGTTTGAATCCCCAGAAAAGCTTGCCAATTATTTGAAGTATTTGGACAGAAACGATACTGCATACAATGAGTACTTCTCATGGTATGAACATGGAACCATAGATGTTTGGTTTCCATTGCCTCAATGCGCTATATGCTTATTGGCACATACCGCTCATAAACTGAAACCGTATACATTCCCAAATGTTTCGAAATGGTGGAACGATGCTTGTGTTGGTCGTAAACTACGCTGGAATTCTGTCGATTAGCAACTTTTCTACAGTTTTGAATAATACTTATATCACAGGTAACTATGATTTTGACTCTGCATAATGTAAAGTGGTTACGATTTTATTATTTTGTTGTTTTTATCAAATTGTTTATAGTTTAATGAAATTGTAAAACTACCAGTCAGTATAATTAAACAATACTTCCTTTTCACAAAATGAACTTTCTATTCAAATATCTTTTAGAGATAAAAAATGTTTTACACAAATGTGATGCTTTACTCTTCTGTCTTATATTTGTTGTCCAATTGGATTGTTTGTATTGTTTGTTAACAAAAACTTTGTCTGTGGCTTATTTTAGTCCATTATTTAACTAACAAATTGGTCATGGTCACAATATGATAATGAGAAAATTCAATGAAACAGGATGATTAAAACCTATATTAAATATTAGTTTAACTTGAAAATAGAACAATGGAGAAGTAGGTTTTTACAACAAGTTGACAAAGATAACCTTAATTACAATAAACAATAAATGCTGAAATATCATATTGAGATGAAAATTAGACAATGGGCTGATCCTTTAATTTATCCACACCCTATTGTGACCCAAGAAAGAAGATGAAAAGAGTGATTAACAACCGACCGACTGAGCACAACTTGTGTATTCCCAAACTTATATTGTCGTCAAAATGTGAATGTTTACGTAATCGTTAATTTGTTCAGCTTAATATTTCATGTATAAGCAACAGCCGTGCTGAAAGTTTTGTGGTGTTTGAATAAACTAATGATTCCTTTGTACTTGTTGAATGCTTGATTTCGAATTCTAAATACAGTACATTCATTTGTGGTTGTCTAGTACTTCTTGATCCGATTACATTATTTCTGGGGTTCTTAGTTCATACTATAATTCAAATACTCCTGATTATCACAGGTTTGCAAAAACATAAACATCAGTTGAATTAAAATTATCAAATGACGGACGATCGATTATCGTCGACTGAGTGACTGATATCAAATTGAAATAAAGAAAACATTCTTAGAAATGACAAATGTCCTTCAACTGACTCTTATTTCTGACACACCAGTAAGAAAGTTGACGGAATCGATGCAAAGATGTAGAAAATGAATTTTTTTAAGAATGACTAGTCAGTAATATTGGAAGTATTTCAATGTAGCTTCGTAACTATTTGGCAGGTGTCTTGTAAAATTCAATTCGTTGCTTCGTGATAAATATGAGAAATCTTTAAAGTTTGCTAACTGAAATATATATATATATATATATATATATATATATATATATATATATATATATATATATATATATATATATATATATATATATATATATATATATATATATATATATATATATATATATATATATATATGCGACGATCTGTGTCGTTCATTCACGCTTCTTTTCTCGTTTGATAATGAAAGAATTCACAACTTTGTCAATCTATTCACAGGAATCGTGATTCAAAACTCATTTCCAGTCAATAACCCTAATATCGTAAATGAATTTATTAGAATACAAGATAAATTATTATACATTGCTCATTTAATGTAAAAATATTGAGTTTATTTGATAACAGAAATCTATTAATGAAAAAATCATGTTGGTTCCTGATAACAAACATAAGCATCACTTCATGCATATTTGTCGTCCAATTCTGGAAAATATGTTTCCGAGTTTTCAGGGCCTCTTTGAACTATTTTCGAGGAATTTTATGGGTCTCCTAAACAAAGGATTTTCAGAATTAAGAGTTTGGTACCAAAGAATCAGCAAGAGTATTTATAACTCGATGGGACCATTAACATGTTGCGTACAATACTACGACGAAGTATCTAGTTAGAACCTAGATACGTTTGTGCATATGTAATAAGTTTTTCCACAAAGTATCGCTAGACAAGGCACTCAACGGAACGAAAACTGAAAAGCCCTCTCCAGCATTCTAATAAGCAGCATTGTCATTTATCAGAAAAGATGCATAGTGTCTATCAGTGGAATCTAGGACGCGCGTGTCGTTCTATTTGGGACTAGTCAGCTGGATGTACCTGCACCTCAGAGTTGATGTTCACTCTGGGACTCCAACACAGTATCGTTTGCTTCAGGCACCATCGCGTTATCCACTTAGCTATTGAGTCCTGATAGTTAACCGCTTGTGCAATAGATTGAAGCTTAATTCGGCTGAATGCAAAGCTACTTACAGCAACAGTGAACGAGGACATAAGTGGGGACAATCGAATGTATTTGAACACAAAATTACAGAACATCTTAGTAAAATCTGAGAAACATGCAGTAAATATTTCATTTGCAAACTTTCTATCAATCGTCTCAGACTTCATTGCTCTTTCGTTTCCATATCAATCATTCTTTGTCGTCATCCTCTTATCTTTGATTTCCTTGACTTTCTGCCTCCAGACATTTCACTTTCCATTGATGATACATACTACTTATGTCAGTCGACATCAGTGGCAAATACCGCACTCTTCCCCCATTTATGACAGTCGTTCTTGAGATAGTTCTGCTCGCCGAGCTACTTTAATCTTTTTTGCAGTCTGTACCACGCTCTCCGTCAAAATGTTGAGTCTGCGGCGCGATGACCTTCATGTACCGTCGACTTCCGGGGCATCAAAATCCAACGTACATTCAGCACACTGTACGTTCAGCACCTGCGTACCAGCGACCTGCTGAGCCATCTACACCCGATGACCGCCCAGCGGCCCCACGTCTCATCGCTCATTTCCGTCGACAGCATCCGCCACAGCCAACGCCACACTCTTAAAACACTTCACTCAAACCCACCTTCTCGCACAGAACCGCCCCAACAAGCGCCTCATTTACAGGTCCGAAACGGGGCACACAGAACAGCACACTTCATCACTTCTGATTCGACACCAAATGTACAGAAGTGTAACAATTAAGAAGAAATCATGATTCATTCGTGTGGTGTTAATGTCCACTTATTAGTAAGTTAAAAAATGATGGTTGTTGTAGTGAGCAACAAGGATCGCAGACTGAGAATCGAAAGTATATGTGGCACAACAAAGCTGTCCCTGAAGCATGATAAACAGTACGTCTTACAGAAAAGATCGACAAGTGAACCGAGAAAAAATAGGAGAGAACATAAAAACCAGGAATGTCGCTTTGGACCACGCCATTGCTGGTAATGTGAAACGTTGTCAGAGTTAGGTTAGATGCAACATTGTCACTTTCAGTTTGTAGGTGATTTGCTGTAGTGCGTAAATTGATGATTCACGCGAACGATTGAGTTGCTAGAACACCAACCGAAGTGGATTGATAGTAAATTGTCAAGTATATGTGGTAGACAACAGTCATGACAATAAGTAATATTGAAACTCAGTTGACAATGTGAGCTTGCGTTGATAGTTACATTGGTTTCACCCACCATATTTATCAAAAGTTAGGCCCCAACAACAATGCATGTTGGTGTTGAAAATCATTGTGACTTAGCTTGTTATGCTTATTAGAATTGTTCATGTTATTATACTAACCAGGAATTTCTGAAAGATAGCAAATTAAACCAGATAGAATTAGATGGGCACAAACGAACATGTTGTATTAGGAATTCAAAATAAGCGGACAATCAAGTACAAAAGAACCATCATTTCACATAAATAACACGTATATATAATGTTGATTAGTTTCTAGCTCCTCGAAAGCAGCCAGCATTGCCTCAGATGTCCCTAACCATTCATGTGTCTATCCAACAAATAAGTATGACAAATCAACATCTTATGAATGTCCACATGGTTGGACCGAGAGCCGTGGATCGGAATTGGCTAATGACAAATTATCAGAAGCAGTTTGTGGAGATTTTAGGAATTTCACAAACTGAAATCATCAGTCGATTGAAGCTAGACCACCATGGAAAACCTGGAGAAACTGGACGGTGTTGCAAATTCATGGATTGGTTGAAGTTAGACATTAACACCATTGGATGCCGGCTCAGTGGTCTAGTTGGTTAAGCGCTCGGGCGCCAGTCTGATAGCTCCTGGGTTCGAATCTCGTGGGGTGCGGGACCGTGGATGCGCAATGCTGAGGAGTCCCATGCTAGGACGAAACGGCCGTCCAGTTCTTCCAGGTTTTCCATGGTGGTCTAGCTTCAATTTGCTCATGATTTTAATCATAAATTGCCAGGTACAACGTTTAAAGCCGAACAACTTATCTTAAGTGCATCACACAAAGCACGGCG